TAATGAACAAATAAAGTTCTAATTCATTTGTCATTTACTTTTGAGAACTCTGTGTTTAACCTGCCTAACATTTTGTATGTGAACAAGCTTAAGTTTAAAATAATAAATTAACTTTCATGGGTGATTCAGTTATAGTCATGGTTACACAAATTATTCATCCAGATTTTAGGCTCTTCTTGTATCCTCTATATTGCTATTCAGGGATATCATATGAGGAATCTGGATTTTAATCTGATAGGCTATTAGAAGACTAGAACTTCTTCACAAATGGACTCAGATGCAGAGGTAATCAATGTGAGTTTATCATCATCTCACACAGACTAAAACTTTTTATCATCCCTCCCAGATAATGGACTTCAAATGAAAAGTGCCATGGGGAGTTCAACGTTCTCTCCCTTTCCACAAAGTAGTTAAAAATCCTCTCCATTTCTGCCCACCCCCTAAAGCTAGACTGCAAAATTTCCACTATTCAATTAATTCCCTGCTAGTAATACTTTTATTTAGCTGCAAGAAATGTTATTTTAAAATAAGAACTTGGAAGCTTCGTTGTATGACTTAAGCATAAGCCCTCCATGTGTGAGTGTCAGCACTGGTGGTATTGTGTTTCTGTGAATTTTTGTATCATGAGGGCAGTTAGTTAGGAAGAGAAAAACTGCTGAAGAATAACTGGTCTACACAAATGTCTGAGTGAGGCCCCCAGCCCTGTCCTCCCACTCTCACAAGCAGGCACTGCTCTGACTTTTACCATTACCATCATTGGTGGCAGCATCTCTTACCATCAGCTAGTGGGCTTCTGCAGGCAGGGGCCATGGACTCCCTGTGGCATCTTGGGCAGCAAGCACGTGCCTGACCATGAACAGGTGCACTAGACTATGTGAGTGAGACTGGATGGATGAATGGTATAGGCAAAAGAATCAAATTCATTGAATTTTCTGATTGTTTTAAAACTGTTTAAGGAAAAACAAAGACGGCTTTTATTTTTCACTTCTATCTTGTTAGCTAAGCATCAACCAATGGGTATGTGGTTTTATTGTGTACAGATAAGGAAGAAACACATATATCATAGGACTCTAGCTAAGCAGACCTCCTCATTGTTTTCTACCTGAGCCAAGAGTGAACTATTTTGCATGAAAGTCAGTTTAGAAAGTGAAAATAAATTTCACCTGTTTGGGGAGGTGAAGCTGTGATTCTTTCCCCCTATATTTTACTTCAAAAATCCCCTTAATTTTCCAAATTTACACTATGTATCACATAATAGAATTTCAAAGAAAAAACTAACTGCTTTTTAGTCACTAAGATCTTAATGTGAGCAGTAAATACTGATAACTTTTAGTTCATGCCTTGCTATACAGTACTCCCATGTTCAACAGTGAGATCATTTGTATTATTTTAATTTCAACCACCAATTTTGAGAGATGATCTTATTGCCTTCCTTGACAGACAGGCAGATAGAGGCTCAAGTGAACTAGGACTAAGAAACCTAGAGTGGGGCCCACCGCATATAATACATTATCCCTGCCCGATACCAGGGAGATGAGTGAAGTAGCTGTGCTCCCATCACATTAGTCTCTTACAGACGTAGAACCTCCTCTTGGTCAGGGAAAAGTAAAGAACCCCACAATGAGCAATCCCACAATGAGTTCCCTCCAGGGCCAGATGGTGGAACACTGTGCACAAGATCTCTAAGCGGTCCAACATCCATGGACTATTTGCTCCAGCTTCCATAGTTAAAACTATCTAGCACCACCTGAGTTCATGTGCCTGAGGATTGTTTCATGCCAATTATTTTTTTTATTAGTTATTGTTTCAGTTTACTTTTTTTTTCTTTTTTAGCATTTTTTATACGTACACACATTGTTTCATTCACTTTAGTGCATGCCAATTATTTTTTAGGTATGTATTGACCTAAGTGATATACTCTACCTAGAGGTAGAGTCAAGATCATATGCATGCTTTCTTAGTACCTTATTCTTTTATTCTTTTCATTTTTCTCCCTCCTATCATTAGCTACAATCTCCCTCAACCCAGTTTGTGTGCACGTGAACTATATAGGTCTGTGTCTTATATACTTTTCTACATTTTGCTTTCTTCCCTGAGTAGTTTCTTCAGTTTCTCTTCAGATCATCTGAGAGAGCTCCAATCCATCCTTTTTAACAAGTGCATACTATTGCCTGGTATAACTGTACATTATTTATCCAGCCATTCTCCTGCTAATAGGCATTCCTTATTCCCAGTCATTTGGCCATTCTAAATTAGCACTGTAATAAACACCGCTAATACATATAACTTTATATGTAGCAAGTAAAACTTGTTTTACAGAATGGATTCCCAGAAATCCCTGATTGCCTATTTTTAATTAATAGAGGTTACCAGCTTGCTGTCCTAACAGCCTTCATAGCCCTTCTAGTAACACATGAGTAATGCACCCTTTTGTGACTCCAGCTAGATGTGGCAGATCTGTATATTTTTGTTACTGTGATAGATGTAAAACAAGACCGCACTGTTACTTGAATAATACGTTCTGAACATAAGTGATGCTGTGTCTAATAACAAATTTCCTGGCCACTTGATTTTGCTTTTAGATCATTTGCCTACTCATCTATCTCACTCATTTTCCTATTGAACTCTTTGTCTTATTCTTGTCAGTGTGTAAGATCTCTGTGTATTCCAGTTATGTCTGAAGAGTGTAAAACTCTCCAAGCCAAGAAGCTAACGAGGCGGTTTCTCTCCTACCACACTGTAGAAGCAATTTTCATGAGCCCAGGGGGTTATTTAGCAGAACTGGGCAGGCTGTTATGACCTGTAGCCACAGACTGCTAGTCGCTCTCTAAATAGTGAATCTGAACAGAAGACTGTGAGTGGAACCAGACTGCAGCTGTGTGGAGGGCTGAGAAGGTGAGGCAGTTGCGTGCAGTGCTGCCTTCCACTGGTTAAGACCTCCGAGAGGAAGGCCTGCCGAAGCAGGATGTCCCTCTGCTGCCCCCAGAGGGGCAGCACTGTGCTGGCCAACATTTGTGGGACTGCCTGTCCCTGGCGCAGATGAGGCCTTCCGCCAAGTATAAAGGATTTAGACATCGGTGCTTCTCACCCTTCTTTCCATATTAACTCTTCTAAGAGTCAGCATTCATGTCTGTGCCACTCCCTAGGACATTCAAGATATGAAGAAACCAGAGACATCTTACTGTGAGGTAAAGCACGGCAGTTACTGTCATCTTTGGCAAGTTTACGGGAACATCAGTAATGCTTATTCTCAGATTGTGGCGCAGGTAAGAGAGCCTGTAGGTTTCATGAAATTTTTTAATCCCCAAATCAAAAATGCAAGGCCAAACTCTTGATATTATGCAAAAACTTGAAATCTCTTGATTTAGAAACAGAGGTTCATTATATCATCCTTACCATGCTTATGTATATTCAGTAATTTTAAAAAAAAAGGAACTCTGGAAAGATAAGATTCAAATGTAGAAGGAAATAAAATTCTATATTAAAAAAGTAAGTGTAGCAAGCAATTTTAAAGTCCAGTAACAAAAATAAATTTTTAAGACTAAAACTTTTTCTGTTTACTAACCATTTCACATTAAACCATAATGTTTAAAATTATTCTTGGCCCTCCCTGGTGGCGCAGCGGGTTAAAGCACTGCACTGAGAAGCTAAAGCCACTTCCGCATGAGTTCAATCCCCGCCTGCCCCCGGAGGTGACCACATGGCGTGGCAGACCTCTCCTGACCCGCCCGCTGCTCCCCTCAGCAGTGTACTTCGTCGATCTGCCTGTTCTGTTCCCCACTCTGTCTCTGGTGAAGCCTCTCACCGCCCCTGAGCCTCTGGCCTGTACCCCAGTTCTGTATGTACAAATAAATAAATCTTTAAAAAAAAAAAAATTATTCTTAAAGGTGCTCTGAAAATCTCCTCTTCATCCCACAATTCTTAGTTTGGAGACTTTAATATACCCCACTGGGTAAAAAGTATTTAGAAAGGTGCTTAATATACCCCATATTAAATCTAACTTTTATTTTCTAAAGATCTTTTCTACTAATTGGTCATTATGAGTAATCAATCAAAATCAACATTGTATCAGAAGATATATAAATAGCTACTTCTTTTGTTACAAAACAACTGGCACTTGTCTTTTTGGATAATTCTAGTAAGTTTGTTACTTATTGTTTAATGTGAAAGATGAAGTCCAATGTCCTGCCTGATCCTGAATGGACTCACTTGATGGGAAAAACTGAATGATGTTTAGAAAACTAGAATGTGACTGTAACAAGACTTAGCAATTGACTTAAAAGCTCACACTAAATGCTGTTGTTACTATTATAACAACTTATATTTCCTGTTCTTTACCTTCATTCATTCTAAGTGACATTAGTGAGACTCTAGAACTTTGTCATCTCCACTGCTGCTGGTTCAGACTTGACACTAAGAGTGGGCATCCACTGTCTTCCTTGTTGCATCTTCCCCCCAGCTTGCCTTGATTTTCCCCTTGGAATAAATTCTCAGAGCTCCAAACCTGTCACATGTTCTCTTATTACTTTAAAGTTTCAGAGCAATCTGGCTTAGAATCACACATTTGCTCCTTTCTGAAGTTATTTACCAGACAAATTTGACCTTTACCTGCTACCCCTCATGAGGGTGCAGTGGCCAGCTGTTTTCCTAGTAGAGAAGAGTTCTGTTGCATTGATACGGATCCCTTTCACATATACTTTATTGGGCAAAGCAAGAAGCTATTACTCTTCTTTATTTTTTCTAACTTAACTAAGCGTTGTCAATGTGTTTGGGATGAGCAGTACAGAAAACTAGTTTTATGACTCAAGCACTTAGGAGAGGATCAGAAAAAATGAACACAAAAGGACAGGTTCTGGTCAGTATTGCTAGTACCTGTTTTAAGGCTGTTTAATTGAATTTCTGTTACTCGACTGCCTGCGCTCTTAATGTACACCCAGTGCTGCTGATGGTTCTTCAGAGCTCGGGAGTCACGCTGCAGTGTCTCTATCGAGCCCTGGGGTCAGCTGGATACCCAGAGCAATGACAGGGACCCGAACGCCCAGAGGATATGGCCCACCATCTAATTTAAAGGTAATTTAAAGGTTTAGAATGCTGCTTTGTATATTGCTAGTTCTTATATGTTCACATTTTTAAAAATATTTTAATGAGGGCATTACTGCCAATTTTCTCATAAGCACATTGCTTTTAGAACAAAGACAAAAAGATTTTCATCTTGAAAAAAGTTCCTTCATTGCAAGGTTGTAGTGCCGCTCCGAGAGTGAAAAAACCAATTCTTCTCTCTGAAGATTTATTTCCTGCTTGCTGCTCTGCCACATTGGGAGAGAAGGCACTATTCTTTCTTATTCCAAGAGAAACGACAGTCACATTAGCGCACTCTTCCCAATTGAGAGGTGTGGGTGTGGTTTCCCATTTTTCCTATAAACACTTGCTAGATGGAAAACCATTTATAATTCTGAAGAGAATTAATTCTTAATTCTAGATTAGAAAAGAAAGCCTAGACATTCTAGACATTTTCCTCCCTGAAAAATCAAGTCAACACTGAAAAAGAAACTCAGGCACCTTACCCAAACTAACCATGGGGTTTTTATCTGTTAGCAAAGGAAGGCGTGGTTTCACGAGTCACAGTAGTTGCTCGTCTGAAAGAAATTCTCCCGTGAGCACGGCGTGCACGTGTACACCCGTAACTGTGTTCTTACCTCTGCAGACGCCGCTGACAGGATGAGGAGTGACGAGCTGGCCGCGACCATGGAAGACACCCGCGGGCCGGAAGATGCTGCGGCTCTGGGCGGCCCGTGCGCGGGGCTGGCGCCGGCGCCTCCCGGCCGCCTGGGGGCGCCATACTCCGAGGCCTGGGGCTACTTTCACCTGGCCCCCGCGCGCCCGGGACACGCGGCCGGTCATTGGGCCACCTGTCGGCTCTGCGGGGAGCAGGTGAGCCGCGGCCCGGGCTTCCACGCGGGCACGCCGGCGCTGTGGCAGCACCTGAAGAGCGCGCACGGGCGGGAGCTG